GAAAAAAAAAAAAAAACGAAAAAAGAAATAAAAAAGAAAAAACGAAAAAAGAAAAAAATAAAGTAATTAAAAAGGAAGAAAAGAGGAAAAAAGAAAAAAAGAAGAAAGAAAAAAAAGAGCAAACAAAGAAAAAGAGTGGTCGTAACAACTCTCGCGCGTCTCTTGGAGTCCTTTTTCTTTGTTTTTTCTTTCTTCTTCTTTTCTTCTTTTTTTTCTTTTCTTCCTTTTTTTATTTTTTCATTTCTGTTTTTTCGGAAAAGGGGGGGGAGGGGCGCAGCGCATGTATCAACACATGACTTCCACCGGAATTGTTTAGATAACCTACTCTCCCATTAGGATAGGAAGACGATGAGAACAAAATAACTTTTTAAACCTTATTTAATTTTTATTTATTGAGAAGGATAATTAGTAATGTCACTTAGTACAAACACTAATTCCAAATTGATTTCAATCTAGAAACAAATTTCAAGAGACGGAAAGAAAGAAAGAAAGAAAGAAAGAAAGAACGCGGCAAGCCACTCACTTTGCGTCTACTTTCAATTCTAATTTATCCAAGATTCGGGGCAATCAGCAGGAAACCATTCCTAGTCGTATTGGATCTAGCATATGAAGATGGAAAGCGTAGACGTATGACGCCGCCTTCGGCCTACGAGGTGAGATAAAGGTATAGTTTAACCTGTAGTGAAAACTAGAGATGATGGGAAAGGCCAATCAAACTCGGAGATAGCTGGTTTTCCGCGAAATCTATTGAGGTAGAACGTGTGATCTTCATTGCAAGAGGTAGAGTACTCGATGGGCTAGGGTGTGGTCTGAGAGATACGTGTTCACTGCCATGTTCATGAAGATTCACTGCATTGCTGATACCTGTGGGTCTTTCACTTCCAAATGTTAGATCAGTTTGAATGTATCTGGGCGTTATAGTGCACCGATACATGTCGAATGTTGAGTAGTGGAGCTGGCCCCCCAATGAGGCAGATTCGAGAAACGCGGCCACGATTAATTCCTATGATAGCATAACGATGCCAGTGAAAGCTCGTCGAAACTTCCTACGTAGTCTCAAGTAGTTGCCATAGACAGCATTCATTTTTTCTCTCCTCACCCTGGACCAGCTAATGTCAACAAACCAGATCCCGATCTGCCCATCAAGTCAGATCCCCATCTCCCTCCCGCTGGTCCTATGACTCTCTTTTTCTCCTCCCTTTTTCTCCATTAATTGATAGATCCCAATCTCCCTCCCGCAGGTGTTTTTTATAAAATAAATAAATAAATAAATAAATAAAGAAAGAAAGAGAAAAATAAATTAAAACACCCAAACCAGCTACCTTATGAGTGCACTGGTGGGTTACCAGGAGGTTCGTCCTGTTTGGGCGTTTCTATTTATTTATTTGATTTATTATCTAGGCTACCAGCCGGGCCGCCCGGGTCCCAAGTGGCCAGCAAAAAAAAAAAAAATCCAAAAAATAAAAAAGAAAACTATGTCATGCAGAAAAATAAACTGAACAACTTTTTTTTTTTTTTTTTTTTTAACTGATCAGATCAAGTGTAAACTGAACAACTTTTGCCTCAGGGTCACATCGAAATTCTTTACCAAATTTAAAATACAAAATAAAAATTTAAAATAATTTTTATTTTTTTAGTTTTTAAAATCTTTTTGGCCCGGCCGGGCAAGTGACCCCGGGTCACTCTGGTAGCCTAGTTTATTATCTTATTCATTTCTTTTTGATGTCCGTCCTTTTTTGATTGGTCCTTTGGATTGATGGTCCGACACGCACAGGGTTGGCCAGATTTTTACGCGATAGAGGCAGCTTGTCCCGATCCCGACCCACCGCGAGTGGAACCAGCACAGCAACGTAGACAGGTGTACCTCGACGAGAGGCTGATAACGACTTGATAGGAGTCTCGATCCCGATCCCGACCGGCACCAGCACAGCAACACAGACGCGAGTAGTTGGACGTGAGGCTGATAAGGACCTGCCACCAGTCACGATCCCGATCCCGAGTGGCACCAGCACAGCAGTATAGACACGCGTTCTTTGACGTGAGGCTGCTAAGGACTTGACCCCAGTCTCGATCCCGATCCCAAGTGGCACCAGCATGGTGATAACATAGGCACGCATTCGAAGGCAGCAGTCCCGATCCCGGCCCAGCGCGTACTCCTGCAGCAGGGGGAGAGCGAAATGAGAGAATTATAGGAGGTGGTGCGTGTCCGAGTCTGGGTCCGGACCAATGGTGGGACGGGTGGGATGGGAAGAGGGAGGGAGAGGAGGGGGAAAGAGTGAATGAGGGGAATATCCGTGTCTGAGTCGGGACCGAAGGTGGAGGGCAACGGGAATCAGGGGACAGAACGGGCGCATAAAAGAACTGACATTCAAGCTCGTCCAAGTTGGGATCGGGACCAATATACATATGGCTCCTTTCATATTCCCATCGCCAAGTGGGACGGGGGGGTTACCTCCCACCATCTTCACCGTCACCACTGGTTTAGTTTAAGAAAAAGGAAAAAAAAAGGGACAGTCGATTCTTAGCTCTACCAGCGGGCGGCCCGGCCGTGCAAGGACCAAAGAAGGTCCCAGCAAGAAAAAAAGAAAAAAAAATCCAAAGTACCTGATAGAGAATTATGTTATGCAGAAAAATAAACTGAATGACTTTTGCGTCAGGGTCACATCGAAATTCTTTACCAAATTTAAAATAAAACTAAATTTTATTATTATTATTATTTTATTCTTTTTGGGCCCGGCCGGGCAAGTGGTGCCGGGCCACTCTGGTAGTCTAGATCCGTTCACAATTTCACACAGACTCAAGTCTTTCTTCTCTTTCTTTTCTTTCTATTCTTTTTTTTTTTTTTTTTTTTCATGTCGAATATTATAGCACTCTAACTTCAGCATCTTCCACCTACACATTGGACGCTGGCCAATTGAAAAGCAGCGTCGTCGTCGTCGTCGTAGAGGCCGAGCGTACCAATGGGAAACCGGCCCTCTATCTGAATCTGGACATTGGCCCTGGGCTGATGGGCGCAACTGTAAAAGTCTGGGCCCCATCTGCATTGGGCCTGGACACAGATACCGGGGCCCAGTCGCAGGCTAGAGGAGTCGCACACGCACCTACCACGGCATAAAGGCAGTCTGGGCGCAGGGGAAGGGATCTTGGCCGATGCGGCATTGTCGGCACGCTGCTGCATTGTGTAGCGAGCGCGTGCATGCTGTGCTGGATGGTCAAGCGCGCTAGCGGGCGCAGAGGTGTGGGGGCGCTGCAGAGCAGGAAGCGCCGGCAGCCATAGCCGGGCTGCTCTGCGCAGTGAGAGGTAGGGAGGCGAAGGTGGTCTTCGGGAAGGAGGCACGGGAGTGGGGAGACGGGATACGAGTGGGGAGCAACAGAGGTACTTACCTGGCGTGCAGAGAGGAGGTCGGCATTGGTGTTGACGTCAAGCACGCTGGTCTTCAAGTCGTCTGGTTGTGATCATGCGCAGTTGTAGCTGTAGAGAGTAGTGTAGGTAGGGCGTCAGCGCCATTCAGAGAGAGAGCTACATTGGGTTCTGTTGTTGGTGTGGCCCTACGGGCTGGGACATTGACCTCACGATTCTGCTGTATTCGTTCTCGTATGAATGGTTTCTTGGTTCCAATGTGCCATCTGCTCTTTGTTTGACTACTTGGACTTCAGTGTGATTTGCAATTTGGATTTCTGTACTTCGCTCACATTCATGTTTTTTGCATTCCAAGTAAAATTTTAAATATATTTTTATTTTTATGTTTTCAAGATCTTGGAGTATTTTGTATGTATTTCAACCGCCCTTGGGCGCAGTCCCACTAACAAAGAGGATTGGATTGAGGTCCTGAATCTGGATGTGTTTTACCCAGAGATGCAGAAAGACAGTTCGATTGCAATTTTTTGCATGTCTCCACAAACACGTCCATTACTCTTTGCATGTCACCACAAACACATCCATTACTCTTTGCATGCCTCCACAAACACGTTCATTACTCTTTGCATGTCTCCACAAACACGTCCATTACTTCTTGCATGTCTCCACAAACACGTCCAGATTCAGGCATTTAAGTCCATTACTCTTTGCAACCGGCCGGATGCGGGGCTGGGCTGCTAGGCCGTTCCTCCTAATATACTACTATAATGAAGTCTGACGGAAAGGTCGTCCTGTCCGGATTCGAGAGGCAATTGCTTTTACTGGGCTTTAAAGAATAAGCCTGCGGGCGCCTGTCAGAATCCGCAAAGAGACGTAATGTTTTTCTATAGACGGCGCCCGCATCTCATAGACGACGAGTTTCTTTTCAGCAAGGCTGGGCCTTGTACTAGCGGTTTAAGAAAAAGCAGAAACGTTGGAATCTGACCGTCGGATTCTTTTTGTCTTGGTATGTATTTCTTCATTGGTGTGTCTTCTCTCTCTCTTTCTCTTTTTTCTTTTTTTTCTCTTTTTCTTTTTTTACGTGTCTTCTTCTTTTTGCAGGGATGGCGCAAGAGACAAACCTCGATTACCTTCTCATGTTGGATGTTAACCGGCTGGTATGGAGCTTCCGGAAAACAGCAGGACTGCTGCTACAGGACAGGCCATATGGGGGTTGGGAGGACCCGAAATCGGAACTAAGGGGTCATTTTGTTGGTAAGTGGCCTTACTTTTTCAGTTCTTTAAATTATAATTAATATTTTCTCGAATTGAAGTGCCTATGTGTCAGTCCTGAACACACACTCACACACACCCAACCAACCAAGCAAACAATCAATATATAAAAAAGTAGGCCATATGGTGGTCGGGAGGGACCGGAATCGGAACTAAGGGGTCATTTTGTTGGTAAGTGCCCTTAACTTTTTCAGTTTTTTTGAAATATAATTAAAATTTTTTCAAATTGAAGTGCCTATCCATTCAGTCCTGTACACACACACACACACACACAACCAACCAAGCAATCAATCAATTATCAATATGTAAAAAAGTAGGAAAAGAAAAAAACCGAGACATAACATTCTATGACTGATTGATTGATTGATTGATTGGGGGGGTTCGCGGGGGGGGAGGTTATCCCCCCCCCCCCAACCAACCAATCAATCAATCAACTAATCAATCAGAAGGCGGGGGTTGCAAAATTTTCAACCCCCCCTATCTTCACCGCATTTTATTAATTTTTGGTTCAACAGAATACTATGAAAATTTAGAGGGACGTGCCTGCGGTGGTGCTTTATCTACAAAAAAAAAAAAAAAATCAAAGATTTTTCTTCTTCTGTTAGGACCCGATGTGGGGTTTTGTGGGCCCCGAAGCTCTGGTCGAGCAGGGCCCGAACCCCGGCCCGAACCCCTGAACGCCCCCGAATGTTCGGGTGGGTAACACTGTAAAATGAAATATTACAAAATAGATTCTTTTTCTTGGTATGGCCTCAGTTGGGAACAAGGACTTCCTTTTTTTTTTTTTTTTTTTTTTT